TGACCAATGAACGAACTGTGACCTATAAAAATTTTGAATTGTGACCTTAAAAATTTTAAATTGTAACCAAATTGCATAGATTTGTGACATTTATATATTTATTCATAAAATATGTAATTAATTAATTAAATTATAAATAAATTTTAATGAAAACCTGATTTTTGAAATTTAAAACCTCTAACCTTAAATTTGAAATGGCGATACTTAAAAACCTGATTTATGTATTGTTCCCCTTTCCGAATCATCTAAGTATCAGCCCATGTTTGGTGTAGATTAAAATCAGATGAAAATTTTAAATTAAAATCAATAATTAATTTTAACCACGTATTTTATAGAATTCACAACTTTTCAATCAAAAATTAAATCAACTTTTATCAAAATTTACTAAAAATCTGATTTTAATTCCACCAAAAAGGACTTAAATTGTAGTGAAAATTGGGGACTTGAGTTTTTCTGGCCTACAATAATTGCTCGAGTCTATTTCACAATCACTGGTTGTCTTTTTCACATCAATTGCGTTTTTTAAGTTCCGATTTAGATTCAAGTGTCTAGAGAATTGGAATTCCGTGTATTGTTGAAAAATCTCGGGAGAATAGTAACTTGTCGGTGTAAGGATTATAGTAAATTAATTGAAGCAAATAGAAATTGCACATTTTTTTCTAATCTCATTGTTTAAGGGATTAATATTAGTAAAAATAATCATGATACATGTACATCATCATTTATACTTTGCCATGTGGCAGCACACCATTGAACAATTTTTTTAAAAAAATAATTTTCCATCAAATTCTTTTTTAATAACACATCAAAATGTCATTCTAGATGTACATTTAACATTTTTATAGTAAAAAAAACAGCAAATACAAAGCGTGAAAAAAATTTATTTGTTTATTAAATTTAATAAAATAATCATTGTTCGACGACTAATTTTCTCATTAATAGTAACCAATTCCATCATTGGAAAGAAAAGTATTCTTAACCCAAAATTTTTGGCTACACAACACTAAACTCCCTATCTATTGTCCTTGTTGTCGAAAACCCTCTCCATCTTTTGGAAGTAGCACAAAGCATCCCCGTTTCAAACTTTTCTTGTAGAATACCCCATGCCGTTACATTCCATCTATCCTGCCGTTGAATCTCAATAAATAGGAGAAAATGGGGGGAAAAAAAAGAAAGGAAAGGAAAAATCGCTCCACCTATTAGACATGTTGCGCAAAACTCCCTCGCTTATTGAAATTAGCAAAAAATGCCCACCCAGTATATTTTCTCAATAAAAAATTAAAAATAACGAATATATCCTCATATTTAAATAAAAGAAAATAAAAGAAGAAAAAAATTAAAAATTAATTTTGACTATAGTTCCAATTTTTTTCGAATAAATGCAAAGAATATACAAATAAGTAATTAAAAAATCCAAATAAAAAGATATGGACGTTTTGTGCTATTTTCTATATGTGAGGGTTTTTCAACAGAAAGGGCAATAGATAAGAGATTTTGTGTTATTTAAACCAAAAACTTCCTAGAAACAGGCAAGAGAAACACGAAAGATAATATCATTATTAAACACCAATAATTTTTTGTCTTTTTCTAGGAATTTTCCCTATGTACAGGGGAAAATGCACATGCTCCTTGCCAGTGCTGCGTTGACAGCACCTGTATAGCTACTTTGTTATTTTTATTTTTTTGTTTTCTGGGTCAACAATCAATTAAAAATTGCCAAGTGTTTTACTTATAAAAAATTTGTGGAGGAGCCCCGTACGTGTAGCATCTCTCCTTTCTCTAAAAGTTACAAAATTGTATTGAACTTTGACTAGTTATGGGGAATCTAACTTTCAAGAATTGTAAAACAGCTAAGCATATTTGTGGCTAAAATTATAAATTATTAATAAATGTTAAAATTTAATGTTAATCACACATTTTAACCCTTATTTTGACAAATATTAAAAAGAGTTTTTTTTTTCTCAAGAAAATGAATTTTGGAATAATGATTTTTTGAGGATGTGAAGTGAGAAAGTAGGAAAATATTTTGAATTTATGCTCAAAATAAATTACCGTATGAATATATGGTTGAAAGTGAGTTTGAAAAAAAAAAATGAGTTCTGGGAAAATGGATGACAAACAAGGACTTAATGATTTCACAAATCTTATCTATTTATTCATCACTCGATTTTTTTTTATGTATAAATTCTTTTGGAACAGAGACTAAGCGATATACCATTCAATTAGCATCGCTCAAAATGCTATAGAAGGCCAGAGGGGTATCTTAAAGCATTTAAAGGTGCTGAAAGATAAATTTCACACCGAATAAAGATAAAATATAAATTAATATATAAGGGTTTGGATTACTTTCTTTAATAAAATTGACATTTTAAGATTAAATTTCAAATTTTAATATATGATATCAAAGTTCATTAAACCCAAATAAGCAATTTGATTAGATTAAAACTCAAAAAATGAATACACATACATGTTAAGAGACAAATCATATATTGAATAAAGGTAAAAATATGGATAAATATACAAGGACTCGAACGACTTTTCTTAATAATATTAATATTTTAAGGAGGAATTACAAGTCTTAGTAACTAACAAGTATTTTATTGCTACTTTTCTCGACCGCGTGCGGCGTGCTATAGTGCCAAAAAAAATGGATAAATCTATATGTACATAATTATTGTACATAATGGATAAAAATCGATATATGCGCGCCACATGTCAATTATGTAATGTATTATGTAAATGATTATATACTTGTAGTATGGTCCAAAAAAAATATCACTTACATAGTCGAGATAATTTTCTACTCCCAAGTCTCCAATCTTTGTTCTTTTGCGCGACCACTAAAAAACACAACCTCAAGACTTTAGTTTTGATATCAAAATTGAGATCTCATTTGTACCCAAAAGATAAGCTAGAAATCAAGTCAAACTTCTAAACTGGTCAAAGACGAAGGATTCTTCCTACTGCCTTCCAATAAAATGATGGCTTCCGGTTTAATAAAATCCAATTTCTCTCTCAGTTTTTCTTTAATTTTCATCTTCCCCTCGCAATTTTCTAATCCAAAAGCAAAACCCATGTAGGAAAAATACCCAGTTCATCATCAAGATTGCAACTTTGTCATCCTTTTTTCCCTGTTTAACTACTAAACCTGTTTATGGAGAGAGAAATATTTTATTACATAGAAAAGAGTCAAATGAGTAGTTTGGTAGGCGGCTATTAAGTAATACCTAACATAAACAGAGATCAAGAAAATTCGGAGGATTCACATTAGATCCGAAACTACCAGGCTTTTTCTCTGGGGTTTGTACTGAAGTTTTAGTTCATTTCATTTTTAGGTACCTGAAGTACGCAAATTGTTCTTACTTTGTTCTTGTATAAAGGGGGAAAATAACGAAGTGTAGAGGTCTGTTTTGGAATTGTGACCTGTTTTCATAGGCTAAGAAATCGAGTTTTTTGAGGGAGTTTTTGCACTTGGATGGGTATTTGCCTTAGCAACCAAATCAAGGCCGAGAGCCCATTTCATACTGGTACAGGTATATTCTCAATCCACAATCGCTTTCTTTATGTACAGTGAAAGAGAGAACTGTGAAATTAAAGTTTACCATCTGAGAAAATAGAGAGATTGAAGCAAGAAATTCAAATTTGTGATCTTTTTGAGTTGTTTTAGTTTCTGAAACTAAGAATTCATGTCCTCTGCATTTTCTGGTTTGCCGTATCATTTGCCTTCAAAGGTATTAGGATCCCGGAGACTTCTAATGCTGCATAGCAATTATTACTTCATTAATTTTATTTGGTGGCAACTAATTTCTTCTATACATTTCATACTACATATATCGTGTGAAAAGAAAATTCTGACCCCAGAGGAGGTTTGTGTACTTGAAGGGGGAATTTTTATGCTTCAAACTTTGAAATATTTAACGTTCATTTTGAAGATATAATATGAATGACCATATTTCTCCCTTCTTTAACAGCTTAAGTCTTTTTAACGGTCAGTGTAGTTTTAAAGCATACAATTGTTCTATGTTTAAGTCACACGGTTTCCTATTTATGAAAATTCTACTTGGCAAGCCGTTGATGAAAAAATAAATCGGTTGCCTGGGTGGTATGCATGTGAGGAAGCACGATGAAGCCACATGCTAATAGCTTTTTACATGAGGTGAAGATGATTTAATAATTTTAATAATTTATATTTGCAAATTGAGTTGGCAATGGAAAAGTGCTGATAATCTGCATGCAAGGTATGTATTTTGATTTCTCAATCTTATTTTCGAGAATGTTGAATGGTGCATATAGGTGTCAATTCTTCTAGAAATGTCAGTGGAGGTGGGATAGAGTTAAGTAACTCAAGCAGCGTGGGTTCATCTGCTTCAATATCCCAGACTCCTCGGACTGAGGGTGAGATCTTGCAGTCCTCCAACTTGAAAAGCTTCTCATTCAATGATCTGAAGGCAGCCACAAGAAACTTCCGTCCCGACAGCATCTTAGGGGAAGGGGGTTTCGGTTCTGTTTTCAAAGGATGGGTTGACAAGCCTTCACTTGCAGCATCAAAGCCAGGCGTTGGGATGATGATCGCTGTTAAGAGGCTGAGACAAGATGGGGGGCAGGGTCACAAGGAATGGCTGGTAAGTGCTTTCTCCTTTTTTAACTTTAGTGATTTCTCATGCATGTTGCTCGTGTTTTGTATTGCATGGTGTGCAGTACTGGAAATTTAGCTTCTTTTTCTTTATTAATACCGTTTCTAATAGTTTCGAATACACTACCAAACAAGCCATAACAATATTTATTCTAGTTTGCAAAATGTGTCGTTGCATAGACAGTCTGAACGTGCTTTAAAATTTGGTTATATATCGCTTAGTTTTTCTTGATGTCCACTTACATATATCAGTGCAGTTATCGATTCTAATTAATGTGGACAACATGCCTGGAATGGTAACCAAGGAACTTTATAAGTTCTGAGATATTATATATCTGATTTAGGAGACCTTCATGTTGGTGTGATGGCAAAAGTGAAATATAACAATGGAGCAGCTTGTTTTGTTGTGCTCTTAAATTTCCCTTTTTAATTGACAAGCTTCATTGTTGGATTTTCAGGCTGAAATCAATTATCTTGGTCAGTTGCGTCATACTAATCTTGTAAAATTGATTGGTTACTGCTTAGAGGATGACCACAGACTTTTGGTCTATGAGTTCATGTCCAAGGGTAGCATGGAGAATCATCTATTCAGGAGTGAGTTCAGTGGCTTCGTTTGATTAGAAGCATGTTTTTCTCTGAATCTATTACCTCCTGGAATTTAGTTCACTCAATGTTTTTGTGTTGAACCAGGAGGTTCTTACTTCCAGCCACTTTCTTGGAGCCTGCGAATGAAAATTGCTCTTGGTGCTGCACGAGGACTTGCCTTTCTTCACAGTGCCGAGCCGCAAGTAATATATCGGGACTTCAAGACTTCTAATATCCTGCTTGACTCTGTACGTATTTTCAGAAGCTAGACTGGTATTGGCTCTGTGGTATCTATGGATTCCTTATGTACATAGTTCTAAGACTTCGTATCGATTTTATGCTTTGAATTCACAGAACTACAATGCCAAACTTTCTGATTTTGGGTTAGCCAGAGATGGGCCAACTGGTGATAAGAGTCACGTCTCTACTAGAGTTATGGGGACTTATGGATATGCTGCTCCCGAGTATCTATCCACAGGTATATTTGACATGTTTAATTGCCTCATAAATTAATATGATCATATTTTGCTACATTCTTCTTTATTTTGATCAATCCCTCATGTTTTCCTGCCAAGTGTTATCCATAATTGTTATTGCCAACACGACCATGGTACAGTGTCTGAGGATTGTTGATATCCGACACGTGTCGGATACAGACACACCAACTAGTTGAAGTGTCCGTGCAACACAACCCATTTTTGTTTGGAGTCAAATCTTGAACTTCCATCTTTATATAAGCAATCTACTGTGTTTGAAGTAAAGGGTTATGTGAATTACATGCATCATTGAATGAAAATCATTGAAATATGCTCTATGCACACTCTGAACAGTATTACTCGTAAACTGTGTTGCTCGGACTCGGGTACGGGTATCGGGTACGGGTACGTATCTATGTATCGGATCTTTTATTTTCTAAAATGTAGGATACGGGGACATGGCTAAAAAGAGTCCAAATTTCGGACACGGGTACCTGGGTACGTCTTTCAAACTTCAATTTTTTTAATAATCCAGGATGTCATTTTGAATTGACCAAAATTAATTATTTACAATGAATAATAAGGGGTTAAGACAAATTTTTGGGATTTAGTTTTCAATAATGAAAATTAATAAATATTATATAAAATAAAAAAATGAGGAATTCGATTGTAATTTGAACTCAGTGGAGCACTAAATAGCTCTATATGGAATCCATTTTCATATTATACAAACAAAATCCTAAACCATCGATATAGAGAGAGATAAGAAAAAAAAGAAGAAAATGGAAAGAAAGAAAAAAGAAGAAAAAGAAGGGAAAACCTAGTATCGCCATCTTTCTCCACCCCCTTGATGACCATGCTAGGTTTGTAGAGAGCAAAAGTGGGAAAGAAAAGAAAAAAAAAGAAGCAAAAACGACGAAGTGTCCGGTTGAAACTTGGAGGATCCGATACATATCTCATACCCATACCCATGTTGTGTCGTATCCGACACGGGTACTCTAACTATTTCGAGGAGTCCTAGCATCAGAGCTCGTAAAAAGAGGTAAACCAGTAAAGCTGAGCACTCAGAAGTTTCGGCATCTGAAACTCATTTGATAGGTAGTTTTAGGTGCTGGTTTAAATATCTTTTGAATCATTCAGACTGTCAGCCGTTTAGTTTCTTCATCGAGTTCTCTTGGAGTTGCATGTGGTTATAGCATATGGACATTTTTTCTAATAGAAAGGGTAGCAAAATCCTTCTCAGAGATGTACCTTTACAGTGCAAAAACCAGTAGTCAATAGATTACGTCATATGATGCACATTTTTCACGTGAGGCATGCGATCTTCAGGCAAGAAGCATCAAATATAATTCTCGTACTTTCCCGTTATCGCCCCTTTTCTTCATTTCTAATCACCTTGCTCAACTAACTTAAATTAATGAAAGCACTGTTTTATTATTTTGATTTGCAATGAATATTCATTAGTTAAATGGTGGACTGTTACATGATAAATTTCTCTCTTGCTTGAAGGTCATTTAACTGCCAAGAACGATGTATACAGCTTTGGCGTGGTTCTGCTAGAATTTTTATCTGGTAGGAAAGCAATAGACAAGAATCAGCCAGCGGGGGAACATCATCTTGTTGACTGGGCAAAACCTTACCTCACAAACAAACGTAGAATTCTTCATGTTATGGATATCCGTCTTCAAGGCCAATATTCCTTGGGTCGAGCCCTAAAGGCAGCTCATCTTGCGCTCCAGTGCCTATCCACGGATCCAAGGTCAAGGCCGAACATGGATGAGGTGGTAACTGCTTTGGTGCAGCTTCAGGAGACTTCGAAAAATGATCAAGCAAGTCACCAATCAAACCAGAAAACTCACCATAAAAACCGACCTAGTTCCTTCAAAAGCAGTGCTGGAGAAATGCGTGGAGTAACAACTCACCGCAGACCATCAGCTTCCCCTCTTCACACGTAGAAAGAGGTATAACTGTGACTTCTTTGGTTCGATGGTGAACTTACCTTGTGCGTGCAGTCGTGTGCTATATATAACAGTATTTGAAGGGAATGTATATTTGTTTGGCAATGTAATTTGTAATCTGCCCTTGATCTTAGTTGTCAGTTGTGACAATATAGAGTTATGAGCAAGTTTCCAGCTCATGTTCTCTGGAAAATGTTCTAGGTTTTTTGAGCTTGAGCTCCCTTTTGGCTGAGTTTGAAATTGTATTTTGTTTGAAAAAAAAATGAAAAAAATTGTAAGTATGAAGTTGGTATTTGCATTTTTGTACGCGCCGAGGTTTCAAATACCTGTGTTAAAGACACTAAGATTGACAGTGATATGAATTATAATTTTTCTTGCATTGCATGAGTCAAAGCTCTTTCTCTATTCATTCAAAATGGATTTTCTTATATTGATGTGATAAAAGTTATTATTTTATTGAAGAATACGTGGTTGAAAATGAGTTTTGAAAGAATGAATTTTGAAAAAAATGTATACCAAACAGGGTAGTACTTCTACTTTTCAATAATCGTCAAAGCTTCGTACAAACAAAAATCGTTACCCAATTACGAAAAATTAAATTAAATTCTTCTCTTTTTGAACAACTTAAATAAGAAAATTTAATGTGCTAAATTGCTATTTATAAAAGACAAATGTTTAATTGAAATTCTTCCTAAAATTTAGTGGTTGAACGTAAATTGACTTGAAGTGAGGTCTTCCATGATGGGCGGTGTGGATAAAAAGGTAATGACTTTAATAAGCATACTTAATTGTCAACCAAAATTGACAGATTATTATCTAATGAAAGGAATCAGTTGAAATTTGTCTTGGCGTAAATTTTCGTTAACTCCTAAAGTTCAGAGCTCTCACTTTCAACTTTTCATAGCGAAACCTGGGAAGCGTAAATCTAGAATTTTCCATTTCAGGTTTGCAAAAATTTTATGTACTTGCTGGAATTCCAAATAATTAGAATAATAAGCTTATAAAAGTAATTCTCCCGTATAAGCCGTCTTAGCTCAGCCGGTAGAGCGCGTGGCTTTTAACCACGTGGTCGTGGGTTCGATTCCCACAGACGGCGATTTTTTGTGAATTCTCTATTGGAAACTAGAATGGCCTCAATCTCAAACTCAAAGCATTGCTCATGTGTTAATTAAATTTTATTTATAAAATAATTGATTAACAATATATTGTAACAATTAAATATATTTAAATCACAATTCTATATTATTTAGTAATATTATTTCATGATCACAAATAAAAAGTTTTGTAGATCAATTTATTTATCTTTCACAAATTACAAATTTTATAAGTTACGATGCAAAATTTTTAGGTCACATATTATTTATTAGTCACAAAATATCCAATTTATTGTTCACAATCTCAAATAATTGGCCATATATTATTTGTTAATCACAAATTAACTAATTTATTGGTTAGCCATCCCACCCACAAATCACCATACCATTGTTGCCGAACACCACCACCAAAAAATTAGATCCAAAATTATAGTTGCCACCACCATCAGCACAACTCCACCTCAGCACAACCACCTGCACTATACTATCAACATCACCACCATCTCACAACATCCACCACCAAGAAGAAAGACAACCCAAAAGGTCGATTTATTAGAGAGAAAGAGGAGATGGGGAATAATTAGGGTTTGAAAGGATAGTGAGGTGGACATGTAAAATAATTTTTATAATATTATTATTAATATAAAAATTTTAATTATATCTTATTTTTGAAAGAAAAATTAGTAACCCATAATTATGAATTGAAATTTTGAAAACACTTTCGTTCATGACTATTGGATTTGGCCCAATGAACTATGTCCTATATTAAAGTCTCTTCTTATGAATGGATGTTTGTTTTATGAGAAGATTACCTATTTAAGAGAATAAA